TATGTTATACATGTGGCTTAACTACCTTAAGGAATTTAGGTTTAACAAGATGTTTGTAAATACTTTAGGAGCTCCCTGGGAAGAAAATGCCTTATTAATGTATTTCATTATAAAAAAAAAAACAAAAACAAAACTAGAGAAACAGATGCTCGTACCCTGAAGTTACTCTGAAATATCAGACAAAAATGGTGAATTACTGACTTGTTCAGTGATTTATAGTAAGTTTTTTTTCTAATTCTGCATGCTCAAGATCATTGTATGCAAAAATTCAACGTGCTCTGCAGTAAACAAACAGCATGTGTTAGAAGTAAAATGTGTTTGTTGTCTAGACTGTAACCATTAACTTCCTGTCAGAGTGGACAATCGAGCCGCACATGTGTGTGCACACTCATACAAGTCTGAACAAATGAGGTCAGGGTTCAGAGTTCTGTTGCACTATGGCTGTTTTAAGAGATTTTTTTTTCCCCAGCAGTGAGGCAACAGGAGGTTGGCTTAGAGTAAGGATACCTGCATATTGCACAAAGTGCTGGCCAAAGGGTAGATGAATGTGCCATTTGAATGATAAACACTTCTCAGTCTGTCCCTTAGCTACTGAGAAGCTCAGCTCCAGTCATTTCCAGACCAAGATGCTGGGAGTGACCATTTTCAGTTCTCTCCACTGCTCAGCTGCTATCACAAGTTGTCATATCAGCCTACTAATAGGGCTTCAGTTCAAGTCCATGCTTTCTCTGTTATCTGGGGACCAGGGCCAATCACTATAGGGGGCCCTGCTTGTTTCAGAATTCAAAGTGACTGAGTGAATAAGCCGTGAACTTCCTGATGGCAAGGACTTATTTCTCTGCATCCTCCACAGCCTGGCAGAGAGTGTCCAATATATTAATTTGAGGAGTTGATGGAAAGGTAAAAGTTACCAAAGGGGAGGAAAGAAAATCTTCTGAGGTAAACAGAACACATATGCACCAAATCCCAGGTTTCACTGGATTCTGGGCTCTTGAATAATGGGAAGAGGCCACAAGGTGAGCAGAGAATGGAAGGAGAGAATCTGAGGAAGGTTAGTGCAGACCTCATTCTTGTCTTTGTTGGCAACTGTTAATAAAAAGGCAGCTGGAGAAAAACCCAAGGCACTGGAGATAATCAGGCTAGCCGCCCAAGTGAATGGTTCCTTTTCTGTTTCTAGCTTGAGGTAATCTGCTACCCATTCTTTGGGAGCTTCTAAGACTAGGCCCAGCTAAACAGCTAAAGCAGGAAGAAAAGTGTTAGTCTCCACAGCAAGCAGAAAGTGTAAGACGACCAACTAAAATAGCAGTCACTTTTCTTATGACTATTAGTGTAATTAGGTCTGAAAAGACAGTCTCTCAATTCTCATCTTAAAAAAGGTGGAAAATCTCACCACATACCAGTTCCTCAGAGCAATGCAATTGCCCAGGAAATCTTCCTATTGCAAATGTTTTTATGGTCCTGGAAACGTCTGTATTTCTCCCCTGGGAAGACTCTCTCATGTGTTTTTGACTATGTCCCGGAAAGTACAGGTCATGAACACTTTACGGAGGTGATGTGCAGGGATAGAAAGACTAAGGCTTGGGAGTTAGATCTCGGTTCAAAGTTTTGGCTGTATGCTTATTACACATGACTGAGACTGAGTTATTGATCTTTGAGCCTTTCTAATTCCAAATCTGTAAAATAGGTCTAATAAAATTGTCCCCACATGACTATCCTAAGGAATATTATGGCCAGCATGTTATCTGGCCTCTGGTAGATGCCCAAATGTAGGTCTTTCCCTCATGCTAATGAAATGAGTTTCATTAGTAAGATTCCATATCTTACCCAAACAACTCCAAGGATCAGCAACCTAAGACATGTGGGAGGAAAATACTAGAAAGGAGCAAACTGCTCACACTGAATCAGGCTCTGGCCTTCCCTCAGCTCCCAAGTCCAGTGCCATGGTCCCCCACTGTTGGGCTGAACAGCCTAGCACTTAGAATGCTCATGAATCAGACTTGGGTCCAAATCCTAGTACAGCCACTTACTAGAAGCAGGACTGCAGACATATAATGTAATCTCAGCTCCGTCATTTTAAGGCAAGAAAGTAAACATGAGTATGGGATGAACTAATCTATCTAAAATGCTTAGCACTGTGCCTAGCACAAGTCAACATTCAAATATTATCACATCACCATTTGTCACCTAGCCAGCAGAACTCTAGTGGATGACAGGTTGAGAAAAAAGTACACCTCTAAGGGGAAAAGCCATCAAAAAGAACCTCAGGAGTATTAAATGCATACCTTTAAGAGTAAAAATCAGCCTTTGTGACATTCACTCTCTGGGAGAGTGGCCTATATAAGTAGACCAGCATCTTGATAAATGGACCAGAGCCTCCGCCACCCTAGAATCAGCTAGAGCTGCTGGGAAGAAACTTGTAAAGAAGGTAAGCCCATGTTATTCCCTAGACACTACCTTCTCTTTCCTTAATCTTTTCTTCTTCTTTCCTGGGGGCTCTGATGCAAGTACTTGGTTTTCCAAGGTCCCTCACTTTTCGTTGCAGCCTAGCCTCTTCCTCAGCTTCCTCCCCCTTCCACCTAAATCAGCGGTTTTGAAATACCATTCCATGTACCAAGGCTAGACCGCCTGCCGAAGAACTACATGGAGAGCTTGTTACAAATACAGCTTCTCAGAGGTTTCTACCCTCAGGAAATCTGATCCAGCAGATCAGAGATGGGGCCTGGTCACCCAGTCTTTTTTATAAATCCCCCAGTAATTCTTAGGTGTCATCATGTCTGGGAATTACACCAAAAATCAATTTTACCTCTCCTGTGGCCCAGTTGTCCTGGGCCTTTCTTTCCCCTGACCTACCTAAAAACCTCATCTGTGTTTGGGCCCATGAATCATTAACTGGCAACAACTTTACATTCTCCTTCCAAGATCTTATATAAAGAACATGTTAGGTCATGAACTAAAATATGATAAATTTCAAGAAAAATGAAGAGAGATTCGGAATCCCCCTCAGTCCATTCTTTATAAATGGGGCTGACCTTATAAAATACTGTGGGCTCCAGCTCTCCCGTCCTCTCTCCACTTTCCTAGTGGAAAGGCCAAGGTAGCCAAGAAGGACATACGGGGTATGAAAGTTCGGAGACAAAGAGGTACCCTAAGTGTGCAGAATCAACAACGAACACTGTACTGAGCATCAGAAACTAAGCACCACCCAGAGCACCTTATATGGATTATCTCATTCAGCACTCCTATCTATAGGTATTATCCCAGTTTACAAATTTAAAAATAGAGATGCAAAGAAATTAACTTGCCCAAATTCAGAGCAGACAAGTGGTTGAGGAGGTCAGTAAGAGAGTATTTCATAGGAACCAGAGAATCCGTGGAAGTGTGAAACGTTAGATTAGCAGAGACATAGCCTTTCCTCTTTTTCCTTCTCCAGAGAGATTAGAAAAAAAGATGATAAAACTTTTGGAAGGAGGAAACAAAAAAAACTACACAGCAAGAAACCAGCAGTATCCCCCAGACTTTTCAGGAGCGAATTACTGAACTAGAACTTTAAGGCCCCTTTCTGACCTGTGGCATAGGACATGCAGGGCCTTTCCGCTCTCCCACTGGGGGAGCGTACAGATGGCGAGCAGGGCAACAACAAGAATGCTAACTGGACTGGAGTTCTGGAAAACTGAAGGGGCCAATGAGCTCTTGAAAGTGGAAAGGAGGATGGCAGCAGAGGGCCAGCTTTCTCCAGGCTGCCCATGCTAGGACAATATGGTGAAAAGGAGCCCGTGGTTCTACGGAAACTTTGTCCAGACTCACTTATTATAATGTGGCTGAAGTCACAATTCTTCCCAAGTCCAGGAAGTAGCTTAAATAAATCAAAATGGACCACAACTCATTTCAAGATGGCAGAAGCTCCCTTAAGCCTGCCATTAATTTCTGTTCTCTGCCCTTCCTGGCCCTTTTCCAAAAGAAACTGCAGAGCTGGAATTGCAAGCACATTCGAGTACCTCCTCATCAGAAATGGAGTCTGGAGCTGATTAACCTTAGATTTTTTTTTTTTCTTACTGTTCAGTTCCAGAAAGGAGGTTGTCCCCAACGTGCCAGTTCCTTATCCTGGGCCTAATGGAACAAGGCCTGTGTCTGAACAGTCATTTTGACAGTACCATTAACAAGAACCAAAGATTCATGGGCACTGCTCGCAATGCCAAAAACTTTCTCTGTGAGATCACTCTCCACAAGGATTTTCAGTGGATTCTAGAGAGATCAAAACCTTCCCCTCAACCACCATTAGCCAGTTGTCCAGCCACAAATGATCCAATGGAGACCACGAGTCTTTTTTCAGCTCAATGTAAACCTGACTCCAGTGTCCTACATGGGGGATGAGATCTCCTTTCCACCCTAATTTCACGATGCCCAATGAAATCCCCCCAGGTCACACAAACGGTCTTGCCAATCACTGGCAAACCGGAAGTCTCATTCCTTTGCAGAGAATGGATGGGGTCAATTCCCAAAGATTCAAAGCACAGCCTCTTTAAAAAGCCTCCATTTGGAAAAGATATTTAAGCAAAGCTGTGCTTGATGAAGTGAAAGAGAATTAGTTGCTTCAGGGGCACGGGCTTCTCAGCTTCATTCGAAGGTAGACGGGCTCATTCACTTCCAAGTCGAACGAACTCAACAACAATATATCATAGTTAACTGTGATCACAGCTCCATGGAATTTCAGCTGGTGCTGAAGTCCGCGGAGGTGCACTTACTATTCCCCAATCTGTAATCACCCTTTTGTACATTTGTTCCTAATCACAGGGTACGGTTTCATCTTAATGAACTGTTTTCTTAGCATATTACGGTTGGTCATTTCAGCACATCTAATGGCCCATTTGGTAACTTAAATTACAATTAGGGCCCCTTGGTTTTTATTTCCCAGCAAGGCCTGGAGGGGTTTGATATTTTTCCCCCTTCCCGCTACTTGATTTCAAGGACAGAATTGCAGAAGAACAGAAGCACAGACCTACCTGTTGCAGTCGACGTGGAGCAGGAGATGAGAGGCACTAAGGGACAACGCAACCTTGTGCCACTGTCCATCTGCCAGCCGGTACGGAAGCGCCTCGGTCCTGGGCTTCCCGTTATGCATATAGTGGTATCGGATCTCGTCCCTCAGACCGCTGCTCTCCAGTTCAAAATAGCTGCATGTAAAGGAACAAAAACTTGATTTTACTTCTGGATCTCCCAGTCATCAATCCTCACTACTTCTCTACCACCTTTCTCAGAATCTGCAATTAGCTACACATGACACAAAGATCTCCTAACCAAAAATCAATTGTACTGCATGGAATCCAATTCACCTGTTGGAGAACCTCACCGTGACACCTTGAGCCTCTGAAATGGGTACCGATTGATCCACTGTGAAGAGAGCCACAAGCTTACCGAAGCATGGTGTAGGGTCTCTTCCAATACCTAGAAGTACAGTTCAGAACCCTCTATTGTCTAAAAAAAGCCTATTCACGTAGAATGGACTTAATGATGCTTATTTTCATTACTGCCATATTTACTTTTTCAAGAACTAAAGGACGAAAGAAATGACTTTGGATTATCAGAGACTGAAATAAATTTAGGTAAGATAACTTTACTAAACACATTCCCCCTGGACAAAAACCTTTAAGTGGACAACAATTCTTAGAGAAGGAGGAGAGGAATGGTTGAAGCTACTCACATATGGACCAGTATTTCAAATTATCATGTCATGAGACATGTAATTGAGTCTTTTCTTTCCCCCAGATTGTTGGGGCATTTTCCAGATCCATGAAAAACTCAGCACCACCACTGCAGTCTGCACTTTTGTCATAAAATGCAGAAGTTTGGGACACTCCTCAGGCACGCACCGGGACTGATACTTTCAGTGGCAGACCATTTAGTCTAAGCCGCTGAAATGCATCATCGTTGTCATTAAATCAGGCCTATTCTCACTGCCAGGCATTGCACTAAGCATTCAACATACTATCTAACTTCTCATCTCTACAAACATAGAAGGCTGATATTCTCTCTCTTTAAATGTTAAAAAACAGATTCTGGAATTAATCTACCTGAGCCGTAATTTAAACTCCAGTCTAAATTTGCCAGCCCACGTGTTTTCTACCAGCTTGCTGTCAATCTCAGAGGCACAATGACCAACAAGTAAGGATGGCCTCAACTGGCGCTGTCTCCCAGCAATTCATTCGTACAGACAACTCAAAAACGACCTGCCTATGTAGGACCTAAACCAAGTTCCATTCCTAGATTTGAAAGGACCTACTGTTTCTCTTCTAATCAGCTGAGTTGGCCTAACCCCGCTGACCAGACCGTAATTTAATCTAAAACACAGAAAGTACCTTCTATGAGCACTGAAATGAATAGATCATGAAACTCACCCTCTATTACGCAGGACTCCCAAGTCATGGGACAAAGGACAAATGCGTATTTCTTGCTTATCTTTCACAGGGATCCTCCCAAGAGAGCAGTGCTGGGGAAGATCAGACTCTGACCTACGTACCTCACACTAGACAGAATCAGGCCCAAGATCACAAACCAAGGTTACTTATACTATTGCAGCTAACTCCTGGGCTCAGGTACACACTTATTAGTAATAATCCAATACATATTTTATAAGACTGCAGAAAAGAAAATCCCTTAACATGGGAGACATTCATTTTAATGGAATTCTCCAAATTGCTTCCAAGCAGCTAGAACATTGAAAGAATCAAAATCTGAGAACTTAAAAGGTCAGGAAGACCTTAGAGATTATCTGGTCATTCATTAATTCATTCAACGTTTTGTTACTGAACACATAGTAAAGGGCTAAAAAAAGGATTTAAAATACAGATCTTGTTCTCAAGATGCTCTGAGACTAGCAGAAAAGGAAATAAAACGTGGCCCTCATACAAAAAAAGTCAGAAGCAAATGCAAGACAAAGGAAGCGGTCATGTCATGTGCTAGGAATGGACTCACTGCTTTCATAAATGTCATCTCATTTAATTTCAAGTTAGATATTTTTATCCCTGTTTTACAGAGTTCACTTGTGATTAGGGATTTTAAGTACCTTACCCAAGACCACGCAGTTTCTGAATTTAAAAAGCAGCATGATTTTGGGTAAGAGACCTCACCAAGATCATCATGAGAAATCTCTCAATTACTTCATTTTGACCAATAAGCTACTGTTGCAAGAAGGGACAGGACCTTAAAGAGGATGTGAAAGACAATTATAAATGCTCCTATTGATCACCTGATAGCTCGGATGCCTGGGTGGCTCTGTTGGTTAAGCCACTGCCTCCGGCTCAGGTCATGATCCTGGAGTCCGGGGATCGAGTCCCGCATCGGGCTCCCTGCTCAGCAGGGAGTCTGCTTCTCCCTCTGACCCTCCCCCTTCTCATGCTCTATCTCATTCTCTCTCTCAAATAAATAAAATCTTAAAAAAAAAAGATCACCTGATAGAATTTTTAAAAAAGCGGGGGGCAGGCAGAGCTATTTAACCAGGTTCAATCGTTGTTCCTGGGGTTATGGCTTCATTGAGCAAGAGCTCATTACCCGCATACCTTGTAAAGATTACTGTAGCAAGCTATTACCTCAGGGTAGTCTCAAACCTACAGCTCCAAGAGAAGAAATCTGCCCTACTGTTAGGCAAAATAGATACTTGTGTCTTAGGAGAAAGTTTCTGACAGCATCGTGCGCATATTCAAGAAGTGCTGTATTCCAAACTTAGATGAAGTCAGAATGGGGTGTTTTGGGTTTTGTTTTATATACATCAAGTAACTGCTGAAATGGTCCTAAACATGACAAGGACACTGCATGGCTAAGTTCCATCTGGGTAAGATGGTTTCATGGGTGCTGGGAGGGGAATAAGGCAGTATTTCCAGAGAGTAACCCTCTGCTAACAGAAGTGTGAGCCTCAGTCCTCAAAGCAGCTTGGAGGTGGTCATTTGGCCTGACGACACTTGGCTAGAGCCTGGAGGGAAGACTCAGGATTTGCAGTAGAGCCTTGTTATTCAAAATATGGTCCACACACCAGCATCACCACCACCTGTGGAAATTCAGACTGGGGGGGGGGGGGCACCACCAAGACCTAGATGAGTCAGAATCTCCATTTTAGCATGATCCCCAGAGGATTCAGGTGCCCATTAAAGTTTAAGCAGCACTATAGTGGAGTATCCCAGGTGTCACTTTACTTCCTGGACAGCTGGTTCCAGTGAGGGAAGCAGCAGTTTGATGCCATGAGCAAGTAAGAGCCCTGGTGTGCTGCCAGGGAGGAGGGGGACCCTGGAGGTGATTATGTAAAGAAGAGTCTAGTAAGCTCTCTGCGCCTGACCGGTCTGCTTTCTTCAGGTCTCAAGTGCTTAGAGGTCTTCTGTGGATTTTAGGGAGGGGTCAACTATAGGAATGATAAAATCACCAGCCAGACTTATAAGCAGCACTTCTCCCCTTAGCTTTGGGCCTCAACCAAGTCCTCAGCCAGGGAACTACTGTGGCTTCCAGAGAAGTCTGTTCATCCAGCAAATAACTGAAAACAGCAAAGACATTCACTACGGAGTTCTCCTTTTCAGATCGAACATCCCTAGCATCTTCTTTCTACCCCTCTACACCACCTAGACAACAAAGGCCCTCCTGGACATGGATTCTCTGCCTTACTCCTCTTTCCAGATCCTTCCCCATGCTGGTCACCATGCTCTAGCTGCAGTAAAATGAATCATTTCCCCCTGTGTTGCATCCAGCAACACAGACATTGTCAGGATTGTGCACAACCATGAATGTATCCTAATGCTTGCAAGGACCTTCCCATCATCTAACACTGCAAACCATTTCACACAAAATGTCATGAAGGTGATCTTTCCCACCCTGTATTTATACAGCTAGTTTTTTTTTTTAAACTTACGTCCTTGCTCAAGTGCTAGGGAGACCCTATCCCGCCATCAGCATGAGTAATTCTCCAAAGCCCACCACTGAGTATGATGAACAGAGTTACTATGAAGTATTACAAGACTTCCTGAATTTCATGCAATATTGAGGAAATAATTCAGGAATAATTCCAGTTAATATAGTTAGATCAAGATCAGCCAAGTAATTTTTATTAGACTTTTTGTCCTTTTCCCTAAAACTTATATTAAGCGATCCATTTTTTTAGCTTATTAGACAAATTTAAAATTTGAAGATCATACAGCTGTAAGTGGCAAAACTAGGACTTGAACCCTAGTCTGATAGACACTAAAGTGGATTCTCTCAATGGCAACACCCCATTACTTTCTACTATGTAAGAAGTTTTAAATCTAGTACCATCTCTCATTTTACCAAAATCTTAAATGATAGTTATTAAATTCACATTTTAAGGTAAAAATAGAGGCTCAACTTGATAAAATGCCTTGCCCAAAGTCATGTAACTCCTAAGATTCAAATCCAGGTCTACTTAGTTCCAGGATTCATGTTCTTCTCACACATTATATTCCTTTCCAGGTACAATGGTATGACCCTATGAAAGTCAGAGGGCAAGAGAATTCAGGTAGACTCAGCTCCCCCAGCCTTAGTCCCCAAGATGCCCCATCCTGGCAAAGAATACCCCTACAGACTCAAACACAAGCCCCATTCCTCCTGCCATGAGAAAGTTATCACCATTTTTTTAAAATGGTGTAGGTGTTCATACAGAATCTCACTTCCATCTTCTGGCCAATTGCCTACTGCTGGGATAATAAAGAAAAGCTGCCAAAAACACCAGGAAGGTATACCGTGTCCAACCTCAGGTCAGGGGTCTCAAGGACTATGTAATTTTTGGGGGAAAAAAAAAGGCAATAGCATAATTTTAAGTAATATTGCAAAGAACACTGGCCCAAGGATACCAAGACTTGATTTCAACCTTACACCTGCTTCAAACCATGAAATCCTTGGCAAAAATATCCCTGCCCCTCTGTACTTCGGTTTCTCCTATCCATTTAATGATCAGATCTGATCCATAATGCCCCAGCATTCCTTGGAAAAGCTTTAGGGTCTAAGGCACAGGGAAGGGATTGGGCACCAGAGAAGCTTCACTCTCTGTTGTGTAATTTGGAATTTCCCCCTGAGATTTCATTTAGAGAAAAGAGATGCACTTCCAAAGATAGTCTGAAACCACTAAACTAAGTAGTCTTCAGGGTCCAGTTTATGTCTAGATTTCTGTAATTCATCTAAT